AGGAAATTTGCGACTGTTAAATAATTGATTGTTTTCAATAATACGACTCGTGCGAAATATACTATAAATTTCCAAAGTTACCAATGTCCAAATAAAACGAATTCTACGTTTTGAGTTTTTAAATTATTACTAGCTGTGGCAAATATCCTTGCTTTTTAATTGAAATTGTTAATAACGTTTTTATATGAGCCATTGCTCGACCGATTATCTGGCTCGGCGAGGTTACTTTTTCCCCCTTTATTCCGTCCGGGTCATTAACGGCCCCGAAGAAAAATGGCTACGATTAATGCATTTCACCGTGATACAACGCTCGTTGTGCACACACGTTTCGACGCGGTCATTTATCGTCTTTTTCAGCTGCTATTTATCGCAAGGGTAGACTGACCTTCTTCAAAATTAAAAAAAAAAAAAAAAAAAAAAAAGGAACGTTCTCGCTCGATGGACCGAGACAAAACTTCTTAATTCGCGATTACAAATATGCAACTGTGATAATCGGTTTGGTAAACACCGCACGCTTTCGTCGCAAGCAATCGAATCATTTGAATTTTTACTCTTCGGCCGAATGTTTGTTCGAGATGTTTGAACTTTGTTTCGAACAACAGCTTGAGTGCGTTTCTGTAATTCCTGAGATGTCGTGAGATACATACAAATGTTCTATCCAATACCAATAACGTTTCTTAGGAATTATTGAAATTTAAGTGATCAATGACACTTTGTGTACATTGACACAGAGATTATACTACTTTTCCAATATAGGTATGTAATCCTTCTCGGAGGTTTTTTTTCAATAAAAATTTAATTCACAAATTACAAGGTTTGATAGCTTAATATTATATATGCGGCTAAATATATGTTAAATTATTATTATAATATACAATTATATTTTGCATTATATTATATGTAGCAAAACATATTACATAATTATTGCATACATTATATAATTAACTCTCTAATGTCGAGACACCATATTCAAGATACAAAGTCTGAAATGGAATCTACGAGTTTCATCACGTCATATTAACTTATGTGTGTACCAGGTGCAGAATATTTCTGACACTTCCTCTCACTGATTCGCCTATCTCACACATTTTCTTAAAAAAATATACAAAATATACAGAGTTCTGTTACTTTCATTTCAATTTGCATTAATGGCACTAGATAGCTTGATACGTATTAGTAAAACATCGTTTCTAACTAACGTAATATCATTCTAGCTTGGACAAGCATAATTCTCAAGAAAATTAATTAGAGTTTAGATAACGTGACAAAACAAAATTCGTAATCGTGCTTCTCTGAATAAAAAAACCACCGTTATCTAAAAAAGTACTAGCATAGCGATTACAGGGACGAAAATAAGTTTAACTTCGGTCGTTTCGACTGATCTGATAGTTCCAGTGTTACGTAAATAAATCGACGTAAGAAATCTTCGTCCCGAGTTGCACAAGTATTCAACAAGGATCCAAAAATCGCGTTGCTCAAGTGCCATTTAAATCGGAGGTTGGCTCTATTCGATGAAACCATCGATTTAACGGCGATCAAGACGTGTCGTATCGTCTGTTTGCACTTTGATTACAAAACTTCGTAACAACGTCGAAATTTTGCTTCTGACCAGACTGAAAGTTCATCAAATTTGAAATAAATTCAAATTCGTCAAACTTGGAAATAAACTTCTTTTTTTTTTTTTTTTTTTTTCTCGCAAAAGTGAGTTGACAAAACGTAACCATCATTTTGACGTTTCAGTAAAATTATTATATCAACCGCGATACAGCTGGCTACGAGTGACTTTCCTGGGAAAGAGGAAAACGTTTCGCGCTGTCGCCGAGGCAAATATCGACGTGTTCAAATCGAGTCGCGCGTATTTTTCTAGCCGGCGTCAGCCGGATCAAAGAGGTTTCTCCAACAAGGCAATATTTGCATTTTATCCGCGAGAACGCGATAAATCTCTGACATCGAAAGGTGGTGTCGTCGCGTGAGAAACAAATCGCTCGGCAGATTTGCCTACGTTGTAACATCGGTGTTGTTGCAAACGTTGTCGACGTTTCCAGTGGTGAATTTCAAGCATTGTAAGATGTGTGAACCGTTTTGTATCAAAAATATAATGGAACGTTGCTAAAGTAGGTATACGAACAATAGTGGTTAACAAGTATTTTTTTTTTTCTATAATCAACAAACGATTGAAACTGTTTAACAGTTATAATGGTGTTGATTGCTGGTGAATATTTTGGAACAATTAAAATATCACTGACAAAAAATTTTAAATAACATTGCGATATCTTGTGGGAATTGGAAACATTTCGTTCCATATAGACAAGGCACGTAAATTTCGCGTGTTAAAAAATAAACTTACCGTTTTACTTTTAAAAAGTGAAGTTAAATATAAATTTTAAGAAACAAACTTATCGTTTTATTAAAATTATTAACGAAATTATGGTTAAATCAATCACTGTGCAAATTTGTAGGAGTTCGTTTGCTGTGTTTAATGAGCAAACGAACCGACGAAAATAGATTCGTCTGAGTTAACAAAATGATTTTATGAATACTTCGTTTAATCTCTTGCGCTGGTCGAGAACTTTTTGTCCCAAAATTGCAATATTTTTCTCAGTTTTAAGTATATTTAAGTATAACCCAGGCAAAGCAAATAATAAATTCATTACTTCTCAATCATTTCTATCCAGTGATATCATACAACACCGACGAAATTCAAAAGAAAAAGAAAGCGACGAATTTACTGTATATATGGTTCGGTCGCTCGTTATGGTCCGCAATCAGTTGCCAGTGCAAGCGGTCAAATTGCAAGTTTCATTTTGAAAAGTCAATCATTTTATTACTAATTATTGACTAAACTAATATTGACTAATTGACGAATGATGACACTGGAGGTTTGATATTAATAGAAGTTCAATAATAATATTAACAGAAGTAATGACAATTAATATTAATGGAAAGGAAATATTTGGAAACAATGTAAATGACAAGTTTACTATTTCTTAACAATTTCTATCCAAGTTTACTATTTCCTAACAATTTGATATCGTATCGACGAGTTCAAAAGAAAAAGAAAGCGACGAATTATTGTATACGGTCGCTCGTTATGGTCCGCAATCAGCGACCGTTGATGCGCCTTTCCTAAAAAAATAAATTTTTATCGTGCCACAATATTCCGCTAAACCTTCGACGAAATACGGTATCGTCCCCAATTCGTTTTATTCGTAGTTTTGTAACTAAATTGCATTCCGCGAGATCTGCATCGAGTGTCTCGTGCACTTTCGAGGCACGAAGGAACAAGGCAGAAGGAACACGACAGAAACGACTTATTTTTCCCCCTAGTTGCGACGAGTCGAGCAGGGATCGCGGCAGGACACAAGTTAATCCGATATATTCGCCACAGCGTATCGCAATTTCTCTTCCGCTGTTATTACCAGCAGAGGCATTAGGTGTCCCGAGTTGATTGCTGAGCGCTATCTTTATGGGGAACGATAAGGCGATGGAACTACCGTGCGTGCTTGTTCGCATAACGGATGTCCACGTGATAATGAAACGCGATATATTTAGCATTGTTTTACATATGTGTATCTCAACCTGTCTGATCGCAGACACGATTAACACGAATAAACTCGTCAACCACCTTTCAACGTTTAGATTTTGTTACTTGGCGACTTTCTAATTATTTTAATATCGATATTTTGAGAATGATTAAATAATTACGCGACTGAAAGTTTTTTTTTTTTTTTTACTGTCTAATTATCAGACAATTTTACTCAGGATAGAAGATAATTATTCGCTCGACCACGTGTCGAGTAAAAATAGGGGCGAGGAGAGATAGAGCAAAGGAAATTTTGAAAAATCATTCGCACGTGTTTTGTGCGTGACACAGGAAAGTTATAGTGAATATAGGCACTTTGTGTTCAAAAATAAACGCACAAGATGCAAGTTGTAACGTATCTTCTTTGCAACAATATCTTTTTTTTTACTATATTGGAGATTTTTTCCAGAAAAGTGCTAATAAATTCATAAGCCAATAAGCGAATTTTAAATTACGAAGAGAGTCTCCCTTTCTATGATCGATGAGAATTTTCATCATCGAATAATAGAAAACTTACGAAACTTAGTTTCCAAAGTTTCACTTGGTATCATTGCTCTTTACCATATGCAAGAATATTTGTTAACAGTCTAACCACCGTCTGTAATTCTCAACTTGCAAAATTTTGCTAAACGATATTTTTATTTTTTTTTTACATTATTTGGTGGAATGTTATTTTTCTTTCTTTATTATTTTTTTTCATATTTATTCCTATTATTATTATTTTTCATATTTATTCCTATTATTATTTTTTTTTTGATATTTATTCCTATTATTATTATTTTATTTTCTAGGGAATGTTCCAGGAATTTTATTCATTTCTTCTGAATCACGACCTAACGTTGCCGAATCTTTCGGCGACTGAATTTTTCCACCACGATGATTTCCTTCCAACGTCCGTAATCCTCAACATTGCATATGCTTTTATAATCGCACGATCGAACGGACAGGGACGTTAATTGCTCCCCAGCGAAGCGTAAGAGAACCGCTCTGCCGATAAGACAGGGCGAAGGAAGCAATTTGCGGCGATCTCGAAATAAGAATATACATCACGGCCAATCGATCAACGTCTCTAAACATTCAACCGATCATCTCTCTAAACGCCACGACGTGGAAAAAACGCGGGGACGACGTCGGTTTAACCCACTGACACACTATTTACCCACGCGTCATACTGCGTTAATCGCTGATTCATTCGCGAGCTGGTCCGCGATTTTCTTTCAATTTTATTTCACTTGCCGCGCGATGTAATTTCGATCGATTTAAATTAAACATTGTCGATCTTACAATCGAAATTAACGAGGTTAATTAACGTTGCAACCGAATATTTCATTGAACGAGAATCGGGAAAATTTGGAGAGACTTTAATTGAACCTTTCCGAAGGTAGAGTGACTATACACGTATCTTTTTTTTTTTTTCTTTTGCTGTTAATGTGAGTTCAGACGTCTCTATTTTTGTAGATTTACTTCAGTGTATTTCCTTATATTTTTATTTGTATTTCATTATATTTTTATTAGAAATGTATAATACTACAGCTATATAAATGTATAATACTGTAACACTATAATGAAAAACAATACTACACATTATTACGCGTTCAACGGAATGTTGATCGTTCAAATCAATGGATTTATGTTAATATTGAAGATAATATTAACGAGTGAATAATTCTCAAATTCAAGATAAAATATACGCATACGATGTAATTAGCAGTTCTATACGCATACGATGTAATTAGCATTGTTTTAAATAATAATTTCAAATATGTTGTTTCACAATGAAATACTACAGCTATAATGAAATAATACCACACGTTATTAAACGGTTAATCCGTTAAAACGAACGTTGATCAATTAAATTAATAGATTTAATATAAGTTAATGTTAATAAATAAGTATTATAGTAAATTTATTTAATTCAAATTTTTTAAATTTATTTAATCATTTGTAAGTTAACTTTAATATGTAAAACAAATTCGCGACAAAATTTTCAAACCGATGATAAAATGTTGTATCTATACCAAAAATATGCATGACATAATTACATAACTATGAAAAACAAAGTTCGGTAAATCTAAACTATACTCCAACACTCCGTACGTAGGTTAACGAAATTCAGCTACTTATTTTGAAGCGAATAGACGAAAAAGACAAAAAATGAAAAGAAGAAAATCAAGAATAGTTATCGCCTTCCTCGCTTTTTTTTTTTTTTTTTTTTTTTTTCTTTCGTTCGTGGCAATGAATTTCGAAGCACTAACAGCCAGATAACGCAGTTTTCCACCCGCGGGGGACTTCCCCGTTGTTCTTGCGTCGCGCAGATCACGCAGCAAACACATAGCTGATAAGATAACACGCTGAGCTACAGGATGAAGATTATACGCGTCTGTGACTCTTCAGCAACGACTGAACAACACGTAACGCGACCCCTCGGCTTCTTTCGTGATCCTCGAGAAACACGAAACGCGGAGTCTTCTTCTCGACTCGACATCAAACAATCGTGACTTTCAGGAGAATGGCCTTCTCTCCTTGTTTTTTTCCTTTGGAAGAAGTTTTCGGTGGAAGGATCGATTTTAAATTTGTCTTGTTATTTACAAGAATCGTTGCATAGATCGATGGAAAAAATTTAGTAAAGACACAGCTACCAAAATGGTCCTAATGGTCCCATTTGAATTAACGATCGTTTATTTTTGATAGCTACCTTCATTGGCTAATTTTCTGGTTTCGTTTCGAATGATTATTATTATATCGAATAATCATGAAATAATTGAATACTTTGATTGTTTAACTTTATTAACCGTATCAGAGTTAATTTTCTATGTTTCGTTTTGAAACACTCTCTAGATATAAACGTCAGGCAAATTTCAGTTTCTTTCCTTTCCCGTTGGTTTTTGGAGAAGAATCGTTCGACGGATTTCATTTTTCGTGAATTTCGATCTAACAGCACGTTTCGTTTGCGACAACTGGAACTATAAAATAATGTTCTAAAATGACTTCTTTATTATTTAATCATCTTCTTTATTATCTTAATTATTCATAACGAAAAATATTCATTCTCAATCTTAATTTTCTTAACGCTGGAACTAAACTGGACGACTAAAGTATAATGTTTGTAGCAAAGAAATTGAAGTGCAAGATATAAGAAATACTAACACAAGCTTCTATTAATATATTTTATTAAAAATCACTTGAGTATTTAAAAATACACTATTATAAATGTATGAGATTTTCACAAAGAATTATAAATTGGTCATTTTGACTAACTTCGGTAGTACCAGTGTTAATAAAACAAATTCAACACTCTATTATTTTTCACTTTCTATAACTGCGTGTTTCATACTTATCGCGGCATTTTATTGGTATGAATCGATAGAAGTTAACGCTACGCAAAACCGCTACGGAACAAATGAAATTTCCCCGCTACTAATTGCAAATATTGTGTCACTAGACAAAAGAACGAAAGGAAGCAGCCTGATAATTGCCGGATTACGAGAAGTATAACGCGATAACAAGAGCGTTGTACGTACGATGACTTGTGAAGTCATGTTCGTACAGTCATCGCGGCGTAGGTGCCGGTATAATCCTTTGAAGGCATTCAAAGAACACGCAGGTGTTCGCGTGCATTCACAGACGTCATAATAATACCCATTCGTTCGAACGACCGTTTCTAGTTCCTTCCTGTTTTTCCTCCTGTCTGACAAACTGTTATCTCAATTACGAACGGTAATATGTAATTAACCTGCTCGAAAGGAAAAATTTCCGTTCCACTTAAGTATACCAATTTCTTGTAACTTTTAATACAATGGTCGCTAATAATGCAAGAGAGAATCGAAAAGGACGAAGTGAGGAATGGCGAAATTTTCTAAAATTGTTCAACTTCTTCAACGAAGTCCCGAATTTCTTGCGAATTCGAAGAAAATCGGGAAAAAAATTTTTCAAACGTCAATCCTTTCAGTATTAAAGAGTCGATTTACACGATTCCACGATTTTTGTTTCATTTTAATAAACATTACATTATATATTTGTAACATTATAAGTAAATTAATTTATTACTTTTTAATTAAATTTTAATACCTGAATATTTCGGCTTTTCTTGTTAACGCCTCATTTTTACGAAATGTTTCACTCGATGTATTTCGTAGTTTCAAACGAAAAGAAAGGTTACAAGGTATCGCGAGAGTGAAATTTCGAGCGGAGAGAGTGTGACATTTTTTTTTTTTTAAATCCAAAAGTAACTTACGTTCTCCCTGAATTTCGCGTACGCCGATTAAACTATCGCGGTTGGGATAAACCACTTCTTCCGGAAGGATAGTTTACTTTAGAAGAACGGAGGTTAAAAAAGAAAAAACCAGGACGAAGTTTGACGTGAAGAAAATCGAGCCCCGGGCGAAATTATTCTACATTCTACGCGTAACTCTCTATGACTGCATAATTACGTGGATATGAATATGCATTGTTCGGTTGCCATCAACAATGTTGCTACCAACGTAACGTTCGATCGGCGAATTTCGGCTAATTAGCGGATTTTAATTACGTCGAGTATAATTCTACGTTTCACGAAAATAAATACAACACCTGCGTGTCAAGATTTCGTAGCAGAAGAAAAATGCGCTTGCGTTGAAATAAAAGAGAGAGAGAGAGAGAGAGAGAGAGAGAGAGAGGTCGAATTGTTTCGATGAAGGGAGAAAAGAGCGAGCGAAAGAATATTGATGAGTTTACATAATAAAGCATTAATAACAAACGATCATAACCATCGACGCCGGGAATTTGCATATGAATAACGCTGTGTCTCTGATGACCTCTTCGTTTTATCGTTAATCATTGTCGGATTCATCGCAAAAAGATCGTGTTCATTCTAACGTATAACTAGCGAGGAATAAATAAAATAAAAGGAAATGAAATGAAATGAAATGAAATAAAATAAAATTGCAAATTTTATTGAGAGCCAGTGAAAATTTCAAACAATTGGCAAGATTACCAAGATTCATTTAATGAAATTGTATATAATCGTCTTCGTTTTATCGTACTCATTTACTCATTGTCAGATTCATCGCAAAAAGATCGCGTTGTTCTGACATACAGTGAAGAATAAATGAAAATAGAATAAAATTGCAAATTTTATTAAGAAGCAGCGCACGTAACAGAATTTCAAAACAGTGAAACAATTATCAAGACTCGCATCAACGATTTAATTAACGATCAGAAAAAGTAAACGACAGACTCTTTGAAAATTTCCCTCTGCGCGAGAAGAATCCACGAATCCCATTGCCAAGATTGATCGATTCGTTAATCCAGCAAGTAACGACTGAAAAATAAAAGAGGAAAGAATTCTGAATGACTTTATTATTTTCGAGTTACTATTCTTTAACTGCGAAGCAGCCGTTTAACACCTTGCGCTGGCAGCTGTTTCGCGGACCATAACGACTGACCGAATCGTACACAATATTTCTTATACAATATTATATCATATTACAAAGAATGTTGCAATTCTTTTTGAATTATTGTTTACAATCCTTTTCGTTGGTAATAGAAATGATTAAGAAGTAATAAACTTGTCATCTGTTTTGGTTTAAATATAGTTGAAATTGAGAAAATATATTGCAAAATATTCGGACGTGGCACGAAACAATTAAATCGTTAAACAATTCGAATTTCCGTTTGAAACGGAATCAAAGATGCCTTTACGAACGATCCCAATATTAAATATTTTAAATATTAATAATTTTAAATTTATTTATATAATTTTGTCTCTTTTAGTAAAAATTCCAATATATATAATTTATGGATGATTATTAAAAGCTCATGTTGAAGCTTCTTTTTTTAGTTCAATAGTGGAATATTACGTATTATATATATAATATAATACGTAAAATATATATATATATATAATATATATAAAATTTATATATAATAAATAATGGAATAAAACAAAATAGTGGAATATTACGTATTATATACAGAATAAATTTTATTTAAATTTAATAATAATTAATTTATATGGAATAATATTTTTAAGAATTATATGTTTATGTCAATTAGACATAAAATTAATTGTTGCTATTTCTCCAGTTGTTCATACAGGAATTATATTAATAAGTATATTACTGATAACAAGACTGTGATTATATTACACAATAACTAGACATGGATTTGTTTCTTCTGGGTTATTCTATTTAATTAATTTAATTTACAATCAAGCTAACGGACGATTAACTTTCATTAAAGGTTAAGAAAGAAGAGAAAAAAAAAAAAAAATGAAAAAAAATTAGGTGAACCCGGATGCAGAGCGACGCGACGTCGTCGTTCCGCTCTGGCAAGTGAAAGTCATTCGCCGGTAATGAATTCGGAATTTCAGCAACCGAGCGCCGCTCTACGCGAGAATCTCGGCCTGTGCACGCGAGGAACAACAGAAAACAGGTTCGGAAGTCGTATCACCGACGATCCTGCCAG